TGGCCGGGGGGTGACGCTGTCCGGGCCGTGTGTGGGTGCCCGGTGGCACCTCTGGCTCCAGCCGCTCTGGGAATGCATCGTCCCCGGTTGCAGGGTTGGGGAGGCCCGGGGCACGCTGTGCTGAGCTCGCCCTGACCTTATTGCGCGTGGGCCACCGCGGAGACACCACAGCTGGGGACAGGGACACCAGAACAGGGACATGCTGCATYCCTAACTGGGACCTGCAAAGCAGAAAGGGCGCTGGTGCAGTGGGAGTTACATCCTCTCCACCCTTGGGAGCAGGGATGCTGTGAGGAGCAGGAGGGAGGGCTGAAAACACCCTCAGAGCCTGGATGYTTGGCAAAGATGGATGTTTTCCACCCATTCCGTATTATGCTTCAGTTCCAAAWTTGCCAGGTGTTTCCCTGGCAGTGAGTGCCATCTACGGGGCACACCCAGCACCTTCTGCCTCCCCGAGAGGTGCCCCAAGAGCCCTCTGCCAGTCGGGACCAGCTGCCCAGCCCTGCACGGAGCCTGGCCCCATCCTGCAGCCCCCATACAGAATTAGGACCCGCGTGTTGTGGGTGTGGATCTGAGAGCAGTGGGGTGACCCTGCTCCAGCGGGGTCTCAGGGGTTTGGCCTCCCCCCTGCTCCTGCCTCTGTGACCATCTGTTTCCATCTGCCTCACTTCGGCTGGCCAGCAAAACTGGTGTGGGAAAAACATGGAGATGCAAATTTGGGAGGAGGGAGGGGCTCCTGCCTGAGTTCTGCCCGCTTAAACCTCCTTTGAATGCTGGTGTTGCTGGGCTCCCACTCGCTGTGTGCCGGCTGCTGACAGGGCAGAGCAGGGCCATGCGCTGCTCCAGGGACAGCCAGAGCACGGAGACCACCCAGATGCTTTAGGGGGAAGCAGGATTCCTCCAGCAGACGTGGCTGCAGGCCTTCCCCTGGCCAAGGGAGCACCGGTCAGAGGCTGAAGCCAGAGTGCCTCACACCATCAGCAATTTAAAGAGCCTCCTTTGCTGAGCAAAGAGCTCTCTCTCCTGGCTGCCACTAGTTTTCCTCTGCTCCTGGCCCAGCTCCCTTGTCCCACCAGGGATTATGGGAGGAGGAGGAGATCCTGGTACACGAGAGCAGAAGGTCGGGATGGTTGTTCCMGCATGTGCCCCCCTGGCAGGAAGAGAGCTCAGGCTGCCCTTGGTACATTGGTAGCACTGGAGGAACTCTGGGGGGCTCAGTGCGGGAATCAGAGCACAAACTGCCCTGTCCAAAAATCCACCAACTGTGCTGTGTGTGCCTGTAAAACCCTGCCCGATTCCTGCAGCAATTCCCGTTTGCTGAGCCTTGGGCAGAAGGGAGCCCTCACAGCTGGTCCAARCTCTCTAAGGGAAGGGACAAAAGGGACCTTTTTGGTGAAATTGCCCCTTGCTCCCTTCCACGGGAGCGCGCTGTCAGCCTGTCCCAACAGAGCCACTTCCCGGGGACCAGAAGGGAACTGCAATCGGATGGGTGGGTTTTATGAAAGCCGACATCTGTCTGCCCTCCCGGCCTCGCAAATCTGCCGGGCACAAACGTCTGTAGCAATGAGCTTAGCGTCCAAAGTGCCAGGGCCCTAACCTTTCCCTGCTCCTGCTCCCCTCCTGCACCGGCRGCAGCCAGAGCCACCAGCCAGCCGGGGGCTTTGGCGTCATCCCCACGGCCCATCTGTCCATCCCACACATATCCACAGCCAGTGCCCTGCTGCCGGGCTTGTCAGTCGTGTTTTCCCACAGAGCAAGCGAGAGAGAATAAATAACAGCGGCAACCGGCAGCAGCGAGACCTCGCGACAAGAAACGCAGAGCTGGCACTTCCAGAGGGCTTCCCGCCTTCCCCAGGCATCCCGTGGAGGGGAGACCCACAGCAGGATCCTGTCGGGGGCTCGCTGAGCTCGCCAGCATCGCAGCTGAGCTCTGCGTCCTGCAGCTCTTCTGTCTCTCTCTCCCAAAAGTCCCTTCCCGCTCCCCGCACTGTCCCACGGTTCTGTTACCTGCCCGGCACCGTCCTGCCAGCCCAGCCCCGCCGGTCAGTGGATGGGCAGGCGCTGCTGGTGTCCCCAGCCCTGGCAATAGCCCAGCTGCCAGGGCACCGCCCCGGCCAGGGGCTCCTGCAGGCTGCCCGTGAAYCGCTGCAGGCTGCCCGTGAATCGCTGCTGGCCGGCGACCCGGAGCGCGGGCTGGGGGATCCCGCTGGAGCAACAGGCGGGGCCGGGCGCGGGGTGATTCTCCTGCGGGCTCTCGTAGTGCTGGAGCTGCCTCTGAGGGGCAATCCCAGCGCAGGGAGGGGATGGAAAGCAGCGTGCGCCTGCAGAACCGGGCTCCCGGGGCAGCGGAGGGCGGCCTCCCTTCGCCCCCGGCTCCTGAGCAGCGACCCCGGCCCGGGCGCGGCACTCGGAGTGGGCACAGGGCCAGCAGCAGCCACCGCCGTGCAGGGACAGCGACARAGCCGCGATCCTGTTGATGGCTCGGCGGAGGGTCGCGATTTTCGAAAGCCTTTTGCCGCCGAGGTCGTGCTTGAGGGCCAGCCGCAGGGCGTTGAAGGCTTGGTTGTAGTCCAGAATCCTCTTACGCTCTCTGACGTTGGCAGCCATCCTCCTGGCCTTGGAGCGCACCGGCCTGCTCCTCTTCCTCACCTTCATCCCTTCAGGGTCCCCCGGGCTGGCRTCTGCTTCCCTGCCTCGGGGGACCCACAAACCCTGCCCGTAGCGCGCCTGGGGTGCGTCCCCCGCTTCCAGCTCTTCCTCGGAGCTGTCGGGCTCTGGCCCCGCGCCTTTCCCCGGGGCTGCTCCGGCCATGGCAGCGGCGAGGGCGAGCGGGAGAGGCGCTGMCGTGACCCTGCCTCCTGGGAGGTGCGGGTGACACTCCTCCAGGGATGTGCAGCCGCCTCTAAAAACCTCCAGCGGGGCTCGTCACGTGGCTGCCCCGACCCTCCTCACCTGCCCAGGTGAGGAACAGAGAGAGCCCTGCCTGCTCCCTGCTCTGAGCATGAGGCACCGGCGCTGGGGTGCCCAGAGCTTGCGGTGGGATGCTCAMAGGCCCCCGGAGGCAGCACCGCCACCGAACACACGCTGCAGTGCTTGATTTAGTCTCTGCTAAGAATTTGGGCGCTGCAGGAGCTCCCCCGAGCTGTTCTGCCCTCTCCTCTGATGTCACGCCTGGGTTTTACCTGGTGCCATGAGGCAGAGCCCTATGGGGCATCACCACYCTGGCTCTTCATTCCCCCCACTCACGGGTGCTGCAGCACCTCCGGTATTTCCCAGCTCGGGGAAACCGAGGCGTGGAATGATGGCATTGCTGAGGAGGTGCCTGGGTGCAGGGGAAGACACAATCACCCCCGTCCCGGTGAGCTGGGAACACCCATGGGCACAGGGGTGSGTGTGTGGGTGCCTGAGCTGGAGCAGAGCCCGGCGGTCGGCRCAGGAATGTGCAGGGCTTGGCACGCCTCTGCCCTGCGGAGCAGGAAGCAGGAATGTGGCAGGGGGGATTGGGGCCGGTGATAAAAGACCTGAAGTGCTATCTGCCTTCCTGTCCCTTCCCGCAGCCCGCGGGCAGAGCTGTCTGGGCCGGCGCTGCCCGCACTCAACTTGGGGGAGGAGATGCTGAGAGCAGGTCCTTGTTTCCTGCATCCCCGAGCTGGTGGGATGAGGGATTTGCCAGGTGCAGCAGGTCCGGAGGCCACGGGCAGGGACCTGGGACCATGGGGACATGGGGACAGCCACTTGTGTTTGCCCATCACCTCATTAGTGAGCAGTTGCTAAACGCCTTCCTGTGCCAGGGGTAATGCTTTGAAAAATGGCCCAYGAGTGGATCTGACAAATTGTTGGGGTGTCTGGTGCAAAAAGGAGGAGAATATTTCCCCCCTTGATTTGTCTCTTCTCATCTGATTATCCCAGCTCGTGTTTGATCAATAGCCACAATTAGCGGGGGGTTATTTGTCTATTGCCCTTCTCCTCTCCTGGCTCTTTGAAGCCGGAGCTAATTTAGGTGCCTGTGCTCCAGGAACCCAATAAATCAGGAGCCAGGGCCTCGGGGACAGGGGAGGGTGAGGCAGCGGGACTTCAAAGGGAGGTGAGGCTTGCAGATAYTGTCGAGCACTCACCTGTGCTCACCATGACCCTCTTGTTCTCCCCAGCACCCTTCTCACTTCTGCCAGGAACTGAGACTTCCCCAGTGAGCTCAGCTCAGGAGCCAGGGAATCTTTGGAACTCTTGAATGCCAGCAGGACAGAGATGYCAGACCCACTTAGAGACGTTCCTGTCCAAATCCCAGCTAAGCAGGATGGATCCCTGCCATGGGGATGGTTTTGGTGCTGGAGACCAGGAGGTGCAGTCCAGAGCAGACATGGAGGTGGCTGAGCCGGGCACAAAGCCAGTCCCAGCTGGGGCAGCAGTCCCAAATCTGCCCCATCCTGCCCRCAGGAKCTCCTCAGGAAGCTGTTCCAGGGGTTCCCAGCCCCAGCTCTCGGAAGTGGCCAAGGCCAGACCATAAATCACGGGGCATCTGATGCCACCTGCCACCTGTAATTAGCGCATCCCGCYGGGCCATCCCCACCTCGTCCCGGGCGCTTCCTACCCAGGTGCCCATTACGGGTTGGGAGGTCAGCAGGAACGCCCACCCAGGCCCTGCTCCCCCGCTCCCCGCTGATTTATCACCGCGTGCTGGAGAGATTTATGGGCTCAGATGGGGAGCCAGAAACGCGCTGTGAGGCTCTGTGGGCCCGTCTGCCTGACAGATGATGAAAGAGCCGTAATTATCTGTCGCCGCACATATATCAGGCCATTCATGGCGCTCCCCAGCCTCCAAGGAAGGGTTTGGCCCCCGGGGACTCCCCACTTCCCAGCCTGTGTCACACTGGGACTGGAGCAGTGCAGAGAGCTGGGCACCTGGGCAGTGTTGTTACAGCTCTCACAAGTCCCACAGCCCAAAGGTGTGTTTCGGGCACCCCAACACTGCTGCAGAGAGCCCTGGACTGGCTGCCACATCCACCCAGCACCCCCAAACTGCTGACACTTCCAGGGGAAGCACAGCTCTCACTGGAGGTGACACCCTGATAGAGTGACGAGGCAGCGGGCACGGCCTGGGGGAGCCCCCAGCTCCTGGCAGTGTTCCAGAACCATCCATCCTCCTTGGGAAGGCTGCACCGGGAGGCACGGATGTGAGGCAGGGAAGGATGAGRGCCGGGACCGGCACGCAGGGAGGTGCCGGCTCCTGGTGACGAGGGGAAGGAGGAGGCGGCTGTTGCGACACTGCCTGTGCCCGCGGGTAAATAAATAGGGCGCTTTGTTCCTGCTGGGGCACGAGCAGGTGGCACAAGGGACACGGGCTGGTGAGTCACCCATCCGCAGGCAGCCACCCTGCAGGGCACGGGAGGAGGCAGGGAAAGGCTCCTGCGGGTGAGGTGCCGTGCTGCAGCACCTCGCAGGGCTCAGGGGAGCAGCCCTGCCCAGGGCACAAAGCTGGAATCAAAGCCACATCCTGAGGAGTGGGAGTGAGCCAYGGACACCGCGCTGCCCTGGCAGGTTAAACAGCACGTGTGGCAGGCAGTGGGCAAGAGCTTTACCTGGGCCTTCACAGAGCCACAGAGCCATTCCAGATGGAAAAAAATTCCAGATGAATCAAAAAATTAACCCAGCACTGCCTTATTATCACTAAACCAGAGTGCYACATCCACATTTTTATGGAACCCTTCCATCACTTTCCTGAGCAGTGTGTTCCAATGATTGTCTCACCATCCTTTCAGCGAAGACATTTTTCCTAATATCCAGTWTAARCMTTGAGGCCATTTCCTGTTGTCCTGTGTTTGGGACCAACCCCACCTAGACCCTCCTTTCAGGGAGCTGTAGGCCTTTGTTGCCCACCAGAGGAGCCGGTGCCTGCTGCTCCATCTGCCAGGAATCCTGAGACCAACACGGCTGGCAGAGCTTCACAGGCCAGAGGATGAGGATGGGACAGACAGAGCTCCACAGCGAAGGCCAGGGCACCACGTGGCGGCACAGGAGCCACCCCATGGCACAGGAGCCACCCCATGGCACAGGAGCCTTCAGGGCCCGGCTGTTCCCGGCTCGGGGATCTCCCGCAGTGCGTGGGATGGATTCTGGCAGCAGTTATGCTGCGCTGTCCATACCGGGCGCTCTCTCGCCCGCATCCCCCGGCCCGCAGCTCCTCGGGGAGCCCCGGGGGCGATGGGACCGAGGGTCGGAGCCGCAGGAGCGCAGCCCCGGCACCGCGCTGCTCTCCCCTCGCCATCATCCCGCGTGTGCCGCCGCCCCGGGGAGCTCCCCCGGCCGCTCCCGCCGCGGGCCGCAGCCGGGGCCGAGCCGGGGGGCGGTGGCA